CCCTTGGGCTGGGCCTGCCTCCAGGCCCATAAGCAGCTCATGCTGCGCTGCTGCACTTACACCCACACCACCACGACGCTGGGCTGGGCTGGGCTGGCTCGATGCTGTGTGGAGGGGCGATGCTGGCGGGCCACAGGCTGGACGCGTTTGGCCATGACGGGCCTCATCGCATGTCGCCAGAAGGAGTGGTATCTTTGTGATCCATTGCGGTCAATGCTTGCATTCCACGACGATAACGATGATGACGATGCCGATCGAGTCGCAGAGGTAGGCAGACAAGCGTTGGAAGAAGTTGGAAGCCGGGCAAGATGAGACGGCGCCATCAAGTCAGGTATTTAGTGTCTAAAGAGGGGGATAAGGTACCGTAAATCAAGGCCCGCCGATTAATGGCCAATGAAAGTCATCCCTGAAGCTCCCAGCCCGAGCCGATATCGCCCCTGTCCAATCATCTTTTTTGAAATTCCGAGACCTGCTTGCGCGCCCCCACTATTGCATACATCTGAACCGACTTGATTCGCCCAAAATCGCCCCCCCACAGATGAACTGCTAGTGACCGTTGCTGTTGGGGCCCTTTCTTGGGCACCTTACCTTCACCTACCTGGCAGGTAGGTACTACTCAGGTAGGTAGGTAGGTAGAGGTAGGTCGGTATTCCATCCCACTCTCTCGCCTCCCACTTTCATACCTCTCTTTCAGATACCCAGCCTACTACCTCACATGGTAGTCAGTACCTCACAGGGTAGTCAGTCCCTCACGTGGTAGTCAGTCCCTCACGTGGTAGTCAGTCCCTCACGTGGTAGTCAGTACCTCACAGGGTAGTCAGTACCTCACCCATCATAGGCAGTACCTCACCATGATAGGCAGAGGTAAGTAGGTAGGCAGGTGCTCCAGCTCCAGCTCTGGCTTCTGTCTTGACAACGCATCAGCACCTGGAAATGCCCGACGCTGCACCTCTGCCTGACCTTGCATACCCCTTTGGGACCTGACCTCGTGTGGCCAAACTGGCTTCAACTCGTCCATTGACCATTGAACTTCTCGAGTCAACAGCATATCCACAAGCATCCAACGTTGGACAACCGTCATACCCCCCGCCGTCCACAGACCAACGGAGGAGATCCGATCTGTCCGCACCAAGAAAATCCGCCGCTGCTTTTGCGCCCATCGCCCAGCTTGTCTGCCCTCCCTCCACCCTCTAGCGTCAGCGCGCTTGATGGACCGACGGCCGTCCGCACTCAAAAAAAAAAAGAAGACAGTCTAGACGAACGCTCGCTCGCTGCTTGTTGCTCATGGGACGAATGGGTATTCTTCGATCCACAAAACCCCCCCCCCCTCTGCCGGCCCCCTGGCCCTCTTACTTCTACCACGTTCCTTCATCCCTACCGTACTCGGTCCTCGCCTGCTCTTAGAGGCACCCCCGGCACACAAAACGCACTCAAAGCTACGGCATACTTCGCCGCCTGGCCGGCGGATACGATAGTGCCTGGGCAGTCAATGTGGAGGAACATTCATTAATGTATCCCCTTTGCCGTCATACCCTCTCGAGCCGG